AAGGATCAAAAATCAAAGTAAACTTAAATATAGTAAACTTGAAAATAATTTTTGACTGATAGATTTTTAAAAAGTCAATCATGAATAAATTCATATATTTTGGTTTTTATCACCAATTTTCCCGCAAGCAAATATTCTCAGAAATATTTTCATTCTGAAAACATAATACTGTATTCTTAACCCTAGATAAAATAAAGCTCTACCTTACCCTCTAGAGGGCAGCAGACACATCAAAACTTGACTGAAGTATATTTATTCAAAAAATACTTCAGTAACAAAATTGTTTTGCCCAGGTCCTTTCTAGGTCTCTTTCAATTATTAGTTATGATGTAGAGTACTGGGGTACTTATTGTTTATATCAAAATAACTGTATATATACATAACTAATTTAATTTTATGTGCTTGAGCTCAATGCATCTGGTCAAAATTGTTGCAGATAATCCAGATGGTAAGGTAATCATGCAAACGTTCAAGGACGCACACATGTTTTTGTTCTATATAAGACCAAAAAAAAAAAATTTTTTTTCGCGACCAACCAAACTTTTAAAAAAAAATCAGGTTGGCATTTTTTTGGTTTTGAAATTATGTTCAAGTACAAATTCGAGAAATACCACTTCCGAAAATTAACATTTAGAACATAAAACCTATTAAAAACAGACATGTATTTTTATCAAAATAATAAAATCGGTAAAATAGAAGGCATAATTTTGAGAACCAAGCGCGATGACGATATATGCACACAGCATCGGATCTCTCGCGCTAAGATGTCAAGCCATGACCAGATCTAGGCCTACGCCTAACCTATGCTACTACTGTACAACTAGTGGTTGCTTCAATCAAAAATTGTATTCATTACCTTAACTCCTTACGATCCTACCTTCGAACAATCATACCTTCAAACACTGTTTACCTTATAGTATATTGGACAATAAATAAAAATAGGCTTAGGTGTAGTCATCACTTTAAAACAGGTACATAGCTAGCCATTTTCGGCTCCGTTACGGTTTTAGGCCAACCATAAACAAAATATTTTTCTCTTATTTTTCTTGAAGTTTACTTTGAATGTATAGAGTCGCTTGCTTGGATATTTTTCATAGCCACAGTATTTTGCTCCACCTGCCCATACGTGATCATGTGGATCGGATACACATATTATTTTATGTTTTGAAGCCAAATAAATCTTTCTTTAAACTGATTTATTTTTGTTAGTATTTACTCCGTCATTACTTTGAGTAATTTTTTGTTTGGCAAGCTTGCCATCATTTTATTGTGGTGCCTACAAGCTACGAACCCTTAGGTCTAGGGTTTTCATAATAGCAGGGGTGCCATTTTAAGCCGGAGGCTGGCGCAATCTCCATCTATTATGATTTTTGCGCCGGCTATAGAATGCCGGAGGTAAAAATAAAATAGTGGCCTGAAACCTAGGCTCATCATGGGCTGGTCCTTGCCAAGCCTTAGGAACCAATACTTTACTTTTTAAATACAGAATCTAATGTCATAAATCATGATACTTCTTGACCAAGCAAATACTTGTTAAAACAAGAATTTCTATTCTTTCAAAAGTCATTATTGAACGACATATGATCGAAGCGACAGCAAATCAACCCACATGGTTCCCTAACTGGTTCGCACGTATTCTTGTAAACAAGTTTGACTCAAAATTGAACCATGGAGCAGGCTTGGTTTGATTTTCGTAATATAGTTTTGCTGGCTTATTAATAAACATAATTTATCTTGGTATCTTACAGTAGTATGTGTTTCAATCATTTAATAAATTTATCATTCATTGTGTTAACTTTTCAAAATATAAGTGATGAGCTGGAAATATTTGTGTTCTTTTCACTCTACTCGCATAATTTTTGAATGACTACACTCGATTGAAGAAGACGACATGCATGCGGTAGAGGTACTGTGTATGTTTATCTTGACAACAAAAGGGCCTCTGCAAATTAGCCGTTGTTAGCTTCGGGCACCTCGGCAAATTGAAGAATGCCGACGCTAACTTCGAGGGCTGTAGCAATGTAGATTATTGTTCCATTGTATACAAATACAATATTTAGATAATAAGAACGTGTATTCAATTACGTTTTTTTTATATGCAAGAAGACTATTTTTATTTTGTGTAGCTGATAAATAAATACAAACAAATTATAGAAAAGTTAGCCCTGACGAAGGACAGTGGTCTGTCCCAAAAAGCTAGGCATTTACCTCACTGGCTGTTTTACTTTTACGTTTAAATTTTAGCTTTTGATTACCAATTTTGTATCTCATTGTTTTTTCAGTATTTTGCCTTTTGGATTATAAATAGAAGTTGTTATAATTTATTTATTTATTGTATATTTGCAAAGGTAATTAAAAATACCTGCATGAAGAAAAGGCACAATACTAGCTGTTATGTAGATGAAAGTAAGAAAACTAGTTAATAGATAGAATCAGATTGCTGAACTGCAATTAAATGTAAATAGTTTAAAAAGAAACACTGTGAATGAAAATACATAATTACAGTACAAACGTTGTATGATGTGCTATCAATTTATTTATTGTTATTATTGAAAATTAAATTAACCACAGAAGTGTTTGACTGTTGGATTTTTACTTTAAAATAGTGTTTAATACATTCTAAAATCAAACATTGCAACACAATTCAAAACTTAAAATTCAACACTTTTAAATGGCATCTTACAGTAATTATATTTCATTTTTTTCTTAGGTAGGGAGGGGGACACCCCATCCCAAACCCACCCTCGCTCAGGCAACAAGATTCAAAAGTTAAAATTTAACACTGTTAAATGCCAATTCAAACACTGTTAAATGGCATCTTACAGGTACATTAATTATTTTTCATTTTTTTGTTAGGTAGGGAGGGGACACCCCCTCCCAAACCCACCTCCGCTCGTGCCTAAGGGCCCTCGGATGTCGCTCTGCGACATGTTCCTCTGCCTATTACTAAAACTCCTCCTGTTATTTCATTTCAAAATGACACCACTGTAATAGAGACTGCAGTTTCAGGCCTATCCTATTTCAGATATTTTTTTTTGGCCTATAAGGAATGGTTCTTCTCAGAAAACTAATTTACTCTACATATGCCTTGTTCCGATGATGTAAGTTATGTCGTAGTTATCGAACAAGCAATTGTTATCAGATTGACCCTGACTGTTCGAACAGGATCACCTGCCCAAAAACATGTGCTTCAACTCGCAAGCTAAACACGACAAATGACCGGATTGTCAAGGCTCTCATCCGAAGGATTAATTGGCCTACCACATGTTGATAGCATCTAAATTGTCTTTGTTTTATTGAAACATCATGAGACCAATAGAAATCATTTTATTCTTCAACCATTTTATATCAGAGTTTAAGAGCTATAACTATCATGTAGACATAGGATACTGTAGAATTTGATGCGACCGTGACTGGATTTCTCATAATCTTGCATTGGATAGTAGTAGCTATATTCAAACGGTCAGGGCCAACCTGATACAATCGCTTGTTCGATATACAACATACAATACTTGCGTGAATAAGCGCCCCGTTTGAATAAGCACCTCTCCTAACGTGAACATTTTCTTAAGTGCCCCGGTTGAATAAGCGCCCCTCCAAATTTTGAATAAGTTCCCCCTCAACAATATCATGTGATTTCTTTTTTTTTTTTGGAAGCCATTATCTTTGCTGTTCCCATCATTTATTATTATTCTCAGGGAGTTTCTGAGAATACACACATGTTTTTTCTAGTGGCTCCATCAGAGTAACAATATAGTTTCATGCGTTCTGCGCTGTGCTGCGTTTTATTTTAAAATTTTTACATATATTTTTTCTATATGCCTTAAGCCTGTCTCACATTATCGCGACATAACAATGCAACCGTACCGACCCACGGTCGTATCTGACTGGAAGTAGGACCTGGCGACCAGTACCAACCACTATATTTTTTTCAACATGTTGAAAACTCTGCGACTATCGACGACCCTCTCTTCTACACGAGCAAGTTGCTCATAGCAGCTCTCACACTGGTTGGTGTCGGTTGTATACTGATCGCAGTGCATATAGGTCGTGATAGTGTGAGAGTTGCTTTAGCTGTTTTTGCTCGGTTTTACTTCCAGAGAACAGAGATTTATATATTTATTTTATGTATTTTTCCTTAAATCAGTGGATAAACTTTGTACAGCAATTTAGTTTGCTTTTTGTTTATCCTGTCTCTGATTTATGGTTTTGTTACTTCTGTTTGTTTTGCATTTGTTGGACAAAATAAATGAAATGAAATCAATCAATCCTGGGACTGTGGTTGGCATGATTAGAGCTGCAGAGTGATTCACATTTTCTTCTTATGTCAATTTCAAAATGAGGATATTTCTACTGGACAGATGAGTGTTCTGCAGACAGTATCTCTCCAACTTCCCTCTCTTATCTAGGTCCTACTTCTTTTTTTTCTTTTCCCTACAATTTGAACATTTAGCACATTCTCATCTGAGTTTGCAAGCCCTGCAATGATCCTGCTAATCTCAGTTGGCAGATGGCCATCAAGTTTAGCACTACCACCACTAATTTCATCTGCTTTGTGTAAATACTCACAGCATTCTTGTCATGAACCATGCTGCTCTCGGGACAATTATTTTCCCGCACCAGAAAAATTTGTAATCTTATGCTTCCGGATGTCCATATGTAATCTTTCTTTTTCATTAAAAAAACGCCCCTTGAATTTTCAAAGTTCCCATAAGAACCTCCCAATTCATCTATTTCCATAGCGACCTTTCAATTTCCACTCTGTTTTCATAAGCACCCTGTTTGAACAAGTGCCCTGTTTGAACAAGTGCCCCATTTGAATAAACGCCCTCTCAAAATGCACAAAAAATATTTTAAGCACCCGGGCATATATTCGCGTCAATACGGTAACCATGAGTAACTTGTGCCGTCAGAACAAGGCTATAATGAAGCTACCAAAAGTCTTTTGGTGATTGAATAAAATCATAAACATAGGAAAGCAATGATAACTGCCAACCCACCTGATATTCTGGAGAGATTCAGTATAGGCCTGCCATCAAGGAATGATGAACTGGATCTCCGCAGGTCCTCCATCGACTGATCTGCAGTAAAGAAGCTGGATGTTGTATCATCAGAGTCATTGTCACTGTCAGATGGTATATATGTGTAATCCAGTTCTAAGGTGTCGTCCATATCTTTATTCTGAACTCCTGGACCTGCATTATTGATAATAAAGTGAACTGTGACCTTGAGGAATATAATATGATATCTAAACAAAAGTTACTAAAAAAAGACATGCAAATTTTAAACTTCTGGTTTTTCATGTCAAAATACAAAAGAATTATTTGAATACACACAATATTCCATAACATGACTATTTTAATTCCAGCCAATCTTAATAGCATGATGGCATTCTCCTATCATTATTTTGGAAACAATCTCAAACATGGTATTAAATAGACTTCGCCTAATATATAAATTTAAACTCTACCGTACTGTGGTTACATAAATTCTATTTCACCAAAAAAGTTTGTATTCTTGAAAGCGAACTTTGTCCATATCTGAGAATAGACAGTAGGACGTAGAACGTAATTACGTCACTAAAAGTCATCTGCGCATGCGAGAATTTTAAGGTCACCTCGTCGAGTGGATTCTGGAACGCAATTTGGCCAAATCTACGTATGCAGAGAAGGTAGGACACCAGATAGGACGGTCACACATGAGTGATTCCGTTCTAGCATCATGTCGCCGCACAAATCGAAAGTTCCCAATTATTGTTCAGTCTACTGAGCTATGCTGTCATCTACTGATAATCATACGGCTGTACTGTACTTGTAATATGGATCAATCCCATGATTCTCTCCATCTTGGTACAAAAATATCAAACTTTAATGGATCATAGTCTGAATGGTGGTTAAAAAAATATATAACAGCTTTACTGCAAAGTTTGCAAATTAGGATGGATGGATGGGTTTATTCGGTGTAAACACCTAAGATAACCCACAAAAGTCTGAAGAAGACTTATTTCTTTATTTCCAGTGATGTCCTTCTGGTGGTGATTGGGCTATACACAGGGAGCCAATCCCATACAGTACTCTTTTCGGAATAGTGTACTGCGTTCTTTAACGTGTACATTGGCCATAATGCACACAGAACGGCTTAAACATCTCATCCGAAAGACAGTGCACTATCGTAACTTGCAACTTGCATTTCAGCCCTCCAGCTGAAACACAGGCAGAGCAGCGATGGGAATTGAACCGAGGTTACCACTTGTTTAGCTGACTGAGCTAAGCTGCTCTCTCTTAGAGAGAAATGAGGGTCCTATATGATCATTTCTGTTTTATACCTCCATGCTGTTACTATCCCATTTACCAGCAAACCCTTCGAAAGGGCATTTAGGCGGGTTGGTGAACCAGGTTTTGCCAGAATGTTATCTCAATAATCCAATTAAACATCGAAGAAGAATACCTCTACTTTATTCATTATCACAGCAGGCATTGCTGTTTCTCAATAAATTACCATTATAGTATTTAAAAACCAGGCTGGAAAATTTTAAAACCTTGTTGTTCAAAAATATTTGGCATTTTTATTACCTTAGCTATAATTTCAGATAAAAATCATAATAGATATGCTTTTGAATTTAAAAAATCAATGATTATGCAAGAAGTTACAACATGGTTTTTGATTTATTTGTGCTAGTCTTCTTATGAGCTATTCACAACTAATGAGCTTTACTGTTAATCTTGTTACAAAATTCCCTGAAGCAGTAATTAATAGAGATAAGAAGAGATCGGCAAAACCTGGTTCAAAAATTGAAAATTTGATAAATGGTAGTTTCCTCATGACTGATAACACACATATAGGATGTACAGTAATAAACCTGCAAAAAACTGATTTAACACTTCACTTTTCAAGTAGAATTTGCTTTTGCTTAGCTTAGCTGTGTATGTGAATAATGTATTAAAAATGCTCTTGAAATGTAGTGGAAGATTAGGAAGATAGATTGGACAAGTTATAATATGTGTAGTACTATACCAAATTAACATTAGATTTTCAGGATACAAACAGTTACTGTATATTTTTTTATACTATCGTTGTGGAATTAACAGGGTGATGTGTGGTGTGAACGAGTCTACTGGATGAGTATTAATAGGAGATCTAGTGGTCGCTTGATATGTGGCAGAAAAACAAACATGGAAGCTATGCAATAAGCCAAATCATAGTTTGAACTGCACATGGCCGTATCGAGGTCAATCAACATTACAACAAACATACACACAACATACTGTACTGTGGGTTATGGGCACCGACCTTGGATATTGGCATGTGCAGTTCAAACCACGAATTGGCTCATTAGAAAATGTTTATAGTATGGGATAAAATAAAGAGAATTGTCAAGATTCATAAGTTTGGAACTGATTTTTGGATGTTCTTAAAGTACCTTCAAACTGTTTTGCATTTGATGTCATCTTTTCAGACTTATATTATTATATGTTTTTATGAAGGCCATTCATTGAAGCCCTATTTTAGGACATGTATAAATTTCTATAAATACAGGCTTCTTAAGTTCCCTGAAATTTGCGAAGTTCCCAGAAATTTGTGCGTTTCCCATATTTTTTAAGGGGATCCCTACTTTCCAAAATATAGAAATTTACTTGTGAAAGTAATTTAACAAAATGTTTTCAATTCTGTTACTTACAATTATACAACACCATCAACACATTCAATAAACCCCAAATACAGATTTATAGTTAAAATTTGAAAAAATAAACAACTAACAACTTTAGCTGCTTTTAAGAAAACCCTCAAATCACACCTGCAACCTTAATCTGTAGTCTGGTAACATTTTTTCCCCTTTGTTTTTGGCGATTGTTAATTGTTGATCTGTTTCGCTGTGCTCGGGGGAGGGGGTGTCTGTCCTTTCTTGTGATAATATTTGATGTTTTGAAATTTTTTTTTTTTATTTGTCATTGCTGACCTGTTTGCTGTGCTTGGGGGTTTTTGTTTTTTCATTGTGATTTCGATGTTTTGATGTAATGTTGATGTCTTTTTTTCAAAGCGCTATGTAAATAGCGCTTAATAAATTAAACAAAAAAAAAAAGAAAAACAGAAACCATAAAGTGATGACCCATAAAGTTGAAACAAACTTTTTTCCAATGGGGTTCCGAAACATAAAAAAAACAACAAAAAATCGGACAAAAATTTAAAGAAGAAAATAATATAGTTTTATACCTTCAGGTGTGTTGGGGCAGCTGTCGGTGTGTGTATAATTAATTGGATGACAGAATGATGTATTGGAAGTAATAGTTGGTACCATGGTCCTGGTGGAAGATGAGGATGCAAAACGTTGCAAGCTTGGTGCCTCAATGCCAGGTAAATTTGGAAGTGAATTAGTACCTGTCAGAAAATACGGATAAAAATATGTAAAATATAATACAAAACAATATACTGGTATATAGCAGCAACATTAACAATTATGAATATTGATAAAAATGAAGTTATCTCTACCTGTACACCTGGTACAAAGAAAGCAGTTTGCCTAGAAAAATGATTATCATGACACTCTACCCTGTGAGTACATGATTTTTAGTAAGAATCTGGCCACACAAGACTGTGAGCAAAATATCTACGGTTGTTGATATTTATTTTCCTTTGAAAGGCATAATCATCACTGTGCGCCAACTATGGCAAAAAGGCAAGCGCTGTCAAACCGCGTCGATATGAAAACATTTGCTGAGCTCAGCTTAATACTTGTAAGCATACAGTAGCCTTTGTGAAACTATTTAGAGATACTGTACAGTACTAATAATAATGACATGAAAGTATCTTTGGTATGGAGGGGATCCAGTAAAGTCACCCCTTTGTAAAGTATCCCTCTAACCAAGTCTTCCCCTAACCAAGTCCCCCCCTGCAAAGTCGCCCAGTAACAAATTCACCCCCTTAAACCATAATAATAAATATTTGAGAAAAACATATGTCCCAGTGGAGGTGTATCTACATCCAAAGTTTCTTTCATCATGTGATTTAAAGGCCCATGTGCACGTCGAAAAACGAATGACCTCCCGTCAGGTAAATCCTGGCGCCAAACCTAATTGAGTCTGCATTTAGCTCCTCGAATAACCCTCACACTAGAGTTAGGCTGTTTAAGAATCATGTTTTAATACCCGTATCATGTGATTTAGATTTTAAAATCTAAGGGTGTATACCTCTTGGTCTCATAGCTCAGTTGGTAGAGTATCTGAACAATAATCGGGTGGTCTTGGGTTCGTATCCTAATGGGTACATACGTTTTTCTCAAATATTTATCATCTTTAATAATAATTATCTATAGTTAAATATATGGTGCTCAATGTAAGAACTACATCCCATTCAATAACTTCCTGCATCCCAAACATCACTTCATGTCTGTGTTATACCCATTCAAATATGAACTAACTACTCACATCTATCTACACTAGTACTAGCCTGCTGCAACAATTAATTTTCTATAAAAAAAAAATTATTATCATCTTTTATAATAATTATCTATAGATAAATATATGATGCTCAATGTAAGGACTACATCCCATTCAATAACTTCCTGCATCCCAAATTTCACTTCATGTCTGCTATACCCGTTAAAATATGAACTACTCACTACTACTAGTACTAGGCTGCTGTAACAATTAATGTTCTAAAAAAAAAATTCTTAAAAAAAAAAAAATTAATAATCATCACTCACTGAAACGCTGGAAATCTTTGCGTAGTTCTGCTGTATCTTGCTCAATTTTGAGAAGAAGTTTGTTGTTGATTTTGTTGTAATCACGATAGAGGTAAATGAATGCCATCCACATCACTGTTGCTATGGTGCAAAATAATTTTCTTGACATCCACATCCTTTGGTACAAAATATCCTGGGAACAAGAGTTTGAAAAAGAAAATCGAAAACTTGCTGTAGTTTATTTAAATTGGTCCAATGATGTAGTAAACTATGAAGTAGTGTTCCAAGCTGTAATCTATCCAAAGGGACAACACTTTATAGTTTGGAAGTGACAAAGGCCCACAAGGGTCAAGCCAAAACATAAAAAAAGACAAATTTTAATAATAATAATGATTGCATTGACGGGCTGCTAAGTGATTTAGCCTATGTTTTAGCTCCAGGTGCAAACATTTCATGGCATATAACAATAACTTTCTTAAAAGCAAAAGCAACCCCTTTAAAATTGGAAGTGGTTCTCCAGCATTGTTTGGGGTGAATTTTGTAAAAATAATTTTTACTTGTCCTATCCATGTGGGAAATTTGTGATGTAAGGGATACGGGTATTAAAACATGATTCTTAAACAGCCTAACTCTAGTGTGAGGGTTATTCGAGGAGCTGAATGCAGACTCAATCAGGTTTGGCGCCGGGATTTGCCTGACGGGAGGTCATTCTTTTTTCGACATGCACATGGGCCTTTAATGCACACAGGACCAACAGCTTAAACGTCTGATCTGAAAGACGGTGCGCTATACTGTAACTTGTACACAAGAAGCAGTGACGGAAATTGAACCAGGGATCTAGAGATCTCAAAGGTACAGCGCACACACAGTGGCTACCACCAGATTAGCCGACTGAGCTTAGCTGCTCTCTCATAAAGGTTTCAAAAGGTTATTCAATCAATTTTAGTGTTTACTTATAATTTAGAAAATACAGTTTTTTTTTCTCCCCGACGAGGGCCCTCCACCCTGCTCCCCCCCACAGTGGGGACCACCCCTGAACTCTATTACAACTGGCAATAGCCAGGTCAGCCAACTGCTTCATTTTGTTAATGAAGTTCTTTGTTGACTTTTGATACAGTTCATTATGGTAGCAAGCATACATACCTGACCCACATTCAGAGAATAGTAGAATATTGCTCGTTCAACGGCTGCATTTATGATCAATATCACAAAAATATAGAGACGAGCCCCACTTGATCTAGATGTTGATGTCAACATATACACCACCGCTGCAGCCAAAACGTAGAACAGCAGGCTATGGAATGATGTGAACTCACCGAGGATCACTCTTTGCACATCAGAAACCCTTTGAAATGTTTCTTCAAAGAGTTGTTTTTGCTCCTTTGTGCTAATTTTCATGTCATTAAATACCTGTTGAAGATCTTGGCTGGACTGATGCAATGCCATTTGTAAATATTTTTCGTTTTTTATTATAGCTTCCTGGTTGGCCAACGACTGGCTCTGTCTCTGCATCATCTTGTCCTGAAGTTCACTTGTTGTTTCCAGTTGCTCGGCAACACTTTCAGAACTTGTTGCCAAGCGAGACACGGTGTCTTCAGTTCTCTCGTGCCAAATTTGATTCTGCAGGAAGAAGCATATATTTTGGGTGTGCGTGAAGAACTCTGTGTACGCATTGAAAGCGATAACATCGCTGCGCATCTTCGCGAGGCAGTCTGAAATATCTTCACCATCATCACAATGATAGGGTGGAATTTGGGCCTTCTGTAAGTGACAGTTTGCAAAGAGTAATGCAAGTCGACTTTGCTCGTCATCGGTCAAGTGTTTACACCCTGTGAAGTAAACAAAAGTGCAGAAATATTTAAAATATATTCGATTACTGGTCTGTATATTTTTTTTTTCTGATTCTCTGAATACAATTTGAAAACAATATTGGTATAAATTTATTCACACAATGTGTTGATACACCAAATTGAAAACTACACTGTAGGCTACTGTAACTGTTGAGTAATTGAAACTACAAATATTAACAGTGAAAATTCATTCTAAACTATAATTTATTAGTTTATGTCAAAATATTACAAATTAACAGTGCTTTATAATTTCAAAACAAAATTAATTAACAAAATGGATCGGCGTTTCAGTTCCATCATGTAACTATTTTCAAGATCAAATAATTTTTAAAAAATAGGCTAACAGCGGGAGCATGTGTCTATCTATGCCCTATACTGCCTTTACCGTATTATGTCTACTAATAAAGTATCCACATGGGATTCAGTTATCAAGAAATGTGTGGTGTTGCACTTTTTTTATGACTTTTGTACAGTTATAAGTTACTTAAGATGACACAACATGACCCATCAAGCACCTTCACCGGATTTACCCTTTCAGCCATCTTTAACTGATAGATGAAAACATGCGAGGGGGCATGACACAAAAACTATAAACAGAAACACCAACGAGGTGACAGGAAGTAATTAACATTAATACTATATAAGCAAATGATAATTAGCCCCACTACTAGACAACAGTTTGGCTTTGACTGAATCAGTTTGTTAATGTTAAGTCACGGTTTCATTTCTTTGATTTGTGTGACAGATGATCGGGCCCACAAGACGATCGGGCGCAGGACGATTGGGTCCATTTCAAGACGATCAGACCCAGGCCAGGACGATCGGGTCCACCTAGTGTGGACTATCTGGCTCACTTCCATTCTGATTCATTATTGCGTTCTGAATTTATTTAACTATATACACATACTGTATAATAATGGGCTAAAATAATTGTGCCTACAGTCTCACGATCAGCCCAAATTTCAGATTATTAGGTCCAATTTCAAAGCTGGGCCCGATTGTCTTTGGACTCGATTGTAATTCTTTGATCAAAAGCATTTCTTGATTCGCTTTTAAAATTTGTGCATTCTAATATTATCAGCTTGTCAACAACACGGCTTCCAAAAAGGTCATTCTTGCACTACGCAGTTGTTAGAATGTGTGACTGATTAGCCAATTATGAGATTAGGAGAGAGTTGGTGGGACAGATTATTATAATATACTTGAACTTGTCAAAGGCTTTTGACTTTCTTACTATAAGTGTGCTATAAATTCATAACTGGGGCATTAAAGGCAAAACGTTCCAATGGATTAAAGCATTTATTACAGGTACGGTAGAGGTCAACGTGTTAATATCCTCTGGAAGAATGTTGTTAGTGATGTTGCTCAGGGGTCCATGTTGGGCCCTTTGATATTTTAACTTTATATCAACAATATGCCTGAAGTTGTCAGCAGTAGTGGTAAGTTGTTTGCAGACGATGCCAAGATATTTACTACTAGTAAACTCTTCCGAGGATTAGGGAAATCTTCAAGTAGATTTAAATGAATTAGCATCGTGGTCACAACGCTGGTTACTACGCTTTTCGCATCCAAGTCAGTTATTCAATTCAGAGCTGCATTCATGAAGATCTGGGAATATGGATGAGCAAAGAAATGAAATATACTGCGCATATTCAAAAGATACATGAACAAAGCAAACCAGCGAATCGGGATGATAAAACGATGCTTTTCCCATTTTTAATGAAGAAAAAAATTACAATTCGGTCAGTAATCTGGAACCCAATGTATGAAACAAGATACGTTTAGAGAGAGTGCAGAAACATTGTTTAAAACTGTGTCTTTATAAAAATTTGTTCCTTGGCGGAAAAAAAAATGATAGACCGATCTGATTGAGCCTACAAACATTTAACACATTGTCTATGGTCAAGTCCTCTAAAAAAAGGCCTAAGGGGTCATTAAAAAAAATTATATAAAGAGAAGATGTGAACAGCTGTGGTCAAAAAATTCTTCAGTAACAGAGTTAAGCCGGTCACTAACTGTGTCGTAGGACCGCCGCACAACGAATCCAACTTCACTCCCTGTGCTAGACGACACGACTCGTCTGCTGATTTTCAGTGCATTGTCGTGTTGCGTTCTTTATAGACTCGCATTGACTGACAACCATCCAGTGCAGTTATAGATCAATGGAACCAACTTCCAGAAAGTTCTTTTTGATGGCAATGACCAAAACGGCAATAAACCAAAATGGCAACACCTTTTTACCACAACGGCTGGCAATAATTCAAAACAGCAATTAAAGTTTGAGATAATTACAAGTGGGCCTAACTATCAGGTATCAAATAACTATCAATTATCAAGTTAGTTTAATTAAGCAATGAAATTTGGATTTGCACTTACTACTGTAGGAATATGACCTATAGGCTTTCTAGTCAAAACGGAAATGTCCAAAATGCCAATAAACCAAAACAACAACAATTTTGTACTACAATAGAACGGCAATGGACCAAAACGGCAATTAGAGTTTGAGTTATCTAATAATTACCAACAGACTTGAACAACTATCCATGCTTTTCTATCTATACATAAATGGTTATTTATATCAAAATTATATATTTAAATACAATATAAAGTTTTTTGGACTTGACGGCTGACTCTGGAAATTTTTTCTCTTTTATTCAATATCATTTTCATCTTTGTATTTATGTACAAACAACAGGATTCTCTAAATTATAAAAAACAAAATTTTAAATAAAAAATGCAAACATGGATAATAACAATAATATTTTCATTTATGTGAATTACAATTATCTTTTTTCTTTAGTTGATCATAGCCGTTTAGGTTTATTGCCGTTTTGGTCAGTTGCCATTTGGTTTATTGCCGTTTTGACCTGCAAACCTAGCTAGGTTTAGGCTAGGCCTAGATAATATCCTGAAATAATTAAAAGTTTCAGTAGGCTAATGGCACTGCCACAGTGCGAAAAAAGCTGCTGTTTTCTATTGGCACTGCCACAGCCTGAAAAAAAGCTGTTATTTTCTATCGGCACTGCCGCCGCAGCCGCAGTGCCAAAAACTATAATGCTACAGTCGAAAAGCTGCTGTTTAATTACTGTAAACAAATGGATGTTTCTATCGATAGACGACATGGTATCAGTAATTGATTAGGTCTAGCCTAGCCTATATTATTGTTAACATATATATTATATATTACAATTAATGATAATTAATTATAATTAGTAAATACATACATGTCTATAGGCCCCCATAAAAAAAACAAAAATAATAAATAAAATATAGTAGTAGAACGGTAGTAAGTATAATAATAAATAATAGGCCTAGTATTAATAATAATAATAAAATAAAAGGCCTAATAATAATTACAGTAGAACCTCGTACGTACCCCAGTTATACGAACCCTCAGTTTTACGTACGCCTCGTATCGACAATGACGTCATCAAAAACCCCAAAAATATTCAAAACAAACGGCCTTTTTCAGAGCAACCATAAGTAGAAAGACTATAACAATAAACTATAACAATAAACAAACCATAATGCAATGTATTTCCATTAAACAGCAACCTTGATTGAGTCTAATACCGGGTTGTTATAATCTAAAACCAAGTGAACTTAGTGAGATGAACAACTGCCGATGGTGCTCAAAATAATTGCTTTCCTCCTTTAATAGCTTCATGTGGTAAACCATGGAAAAACTTGTCTGGCCTAATTTTCTACACGAAGCTGAGTAGGCATAGTTTCGTACATGAACGCTAATTGGTTGGCTCGCCCAGTGCAGTGCACATGATTTTGCTGTTTCACGTACACGAACGCTAATTGGTTGGCTCGCCCAGTGCACATGGGTTTAGTTTGTCTCAACAGGCCCAGACAACACTACACCACAGCTCTGTTGTTTAGAATAGGCATGAAGGGGAA